TATTAAAGAACTGTTCTTGTTAATTTGATGAAAACATATTAAATTTCCAGTGCACTCACATCAGAATAACATAGATTTGTTGTTAGAAAAATAGATTAATAAAAAAAATAATTGTTAGATTAATCGATTAGAAAATAATCGTTTGGTACAGCACTAGAATGCAGTGACAAAAGTCTGAGGTTTTTTTGAATCATTTCTGCATCTTCACAAACCTGAAATTATGTCAGTTTTAGTTCTTAGAGGAGATTTAACATCCTGAGATCCAGTTATTACTCATCCTGCTTTTTACAGACTAATGTTGGGTTAGCAGAGCAGAGCAGAGCCTTCTCCTCTGTCATTACTCATCATGTTTTCTATTTCATCAGTGTTCAGGAACGAGCCGGCTGTGAATTACACTCAGACTTGTTTTTTTTATGTATTTGTGCTTCGCTGCAGTCACTTCAGCCCTGCAGCTTCTCGTCATTTGTCCCTTACCTACCGATCGTTATAAGTCTTAATCCATTCCTCAGTTCTCTTTCTTGGAAACAAAATAAAACGTGGATTTGATGTCTTGTTCTTTAAAGGATCTTTTATAACTTTTAGCTGGACTTTGGCTTGTTTTTCACTTTTTTGCCCATTCTTGTTAGAAAAACTTAAAATTGTGTCTTTGTCATATTAGATAGAACAGGACTTGTGTTAAAGAGAAGACGTCAGACTGAACTGAACAGACGAAAACAAGGAGAAATATTGTTTTTTGTTTTAAGGTTCTTTCTGTTACCCCTGCAGCCACTGAGATCCTCTGATTTGATGCTTCTGGTCGTCCTGAACACTAGTTTGATGCTTTGATGAGATCAGGTTTTTCAGTCGTGGCTCACAAACTTTGGAATAATTTGTCTTCCAACATTAGACCGGCCTCTTCACTTCCTGTTTGGAAATATTTTTTGAAAACACATTTGTTCTCACTGACCTTTGACTTAATCTTTTTATGCTCTTATTTACTTTCTTCTAATTAAAAAATAATAGTTTCATTGTTTTTATCTCTGCTTTTGTCTTATTTTATTATTGTCATCATGCAACACTGTAGTTTGTTGAATGTGCTTTTATAAGTATATTGAATTGACTACAAGTGTGGTCACCGTCTGACAATAATTCACTAAATAAGAATTTTATTTATTTGTTGCTGTGAGTGTTTGTTGCTCTGACTTTATTATTATTTCTTTTCTAGAAGCTCAAAGTTCTTTGTTCTTCTTCTGCAGATCCGTCCTGAGCCGAGCCGTCTCCTCTGACCTCTGACCTCTGGTCAGTGTGTGTGATGATGACGATGAGGATGCGGTCTGGTCACGTCTAAGCTGCACATGTTGAAGTGAGAGAGACGAATGGCGCTCTGTCCCTGAAAAGTCTTGGATCAAATTCTACTGGATTTAATTGCGGCGTTGTTTGAGAATTCTGGGAATTCCTTCTGATAAAATGTTTTGAAAGGTTTTTGTTTCTGTGCGAATAAAAAAGAAGAGGAATCCTGCAAAATGGAAACTTCTGGGATGTAAAACAAATATGTGGAATAAAAATCTCATCTAAGGATTTACTGTTTGAACCAAAAACTCCAAACTCTTGGATATTGGGTTTTTATTTTTAATTGTTTTCACTTTTTTTAAACGTTCTTTTATGTCCTAAAAAGCGTTCTTTCCTTGGCTCTGCGCCTGCTGCTGGAGTTTTTATCACATTTTATTTGCATCCCGTCAGCTGGATGAAATGGATCCGTGGATACCAGAAGCAGGAAGTTGATCTCTGAGAGATAATCGCAGGGAGCAGGAACATGTCGTGGAAAAGGAGCTACTTTGCCTCAGGCGGCAGCGGTGGCAGAGGCGGGGGTGGAAGCGGAGGGGGGGTGCAGGGAATCCTGGCACCCCGCACCATGACGTCCATCGCTCCCAGTAAAGGGCTGAGCAACGAGCCGGGCCAGAACAGCTGCTTCCTGAACAGCGCCCTGCAGGTACCAGAACACAACCTGAACAAACATACAGGCTGAGTTTCACTGTTTAATTATTTTATTTAAGGGCGGGTGTATTGCAATTGCATTTAGGAATATTAAAATTATTTTTGTGTATTTATGTTATAACACCGTTTCATAATAAAGTTGCCTAGTTGTGTAGCCAGAGAAACCCCAGTTCAACCAGCATTTCTTAGTGTTTTGCTTCTAAACATCTTCATTATTTTACCATTTTCCCAAGGAACTTTTAGATTCTGTTCATCTGTAGCTGTATTTTTTTAACATTGATTTTTCTTTTTTTGTCAAGTCTGAGATTTGTTTTAAAGATGTACCATATGTTACAAGGACTGAAACTGAGTTAAAAGAGGAAAAATGCACAAATAAAACTTTTAGACATTCACAAACATCAAAGTTAGTGGCTTCCAGAAAAATGATTTGAACCACTTGTGTTGCAGGGTTTCCCGCAGCGCCATTATAAGGCTGGCGGGCCACCAGGCTTTACATGCCTCCCCACCAGGTTAAAATTTGTTTACTCAGAGCGGTCGACGACCCGTGGAGTAGTAAAGCCAAAAAGCTATTGTAATGACTCTCACTTTTAAGGAAAACACAAAAAATGTTGAGTTTTATTTTTCCTAAAGGTTAGCGTTTCAGTACAACATTCTGCTTTAACCCAACTGATGTGATCAAAGAAAAATAGTAAAATGTGTTTTTATGTTCACCAGCTGACCAATATTTTATTGAAGGGATACTTGAGTTCTGAGTTTTAGCTCACCAGCACAGTTTTTACCATTTTGTTTGATAAAATAAACATTGTTTTAAAAGACTGATTACCTTCAGCGTTATATGAGTGGCAGCTGTTGTTTGTTAGACCAAACACTCCTGCAGCCGCTCGGCTCCGACCGGCTGCAGAGTTTTTATCCACAGCACGAGTCTTACAATCAGCCACTCCCCCTCATAACAACCAGAGTGAGTCTGTAATGATCCGTTGCGTCTCCTCCCAGACTGCTTGTTGCTCTGGTTAGTGAGTCATCAATGATGAAGGGGTGGAGGATTGTCTGCCTCCACCTGCAGTCAGCGACAAAACGAGCTGAGAGCTGTAATTACGGTGGCTGACTCATTAACCCGGGTGGGACAGGAACCCACAAACACTCATTACACTGTTTAAGTGGAGCTTAAAGTCTGGGCAGGTCCTGGATCAGCTGCTTCACACCCTGGTGAGGGGTCAGACCCAAAGTACATCTGAAGCAGGCTTGGAAGAGAAATCAGTCGAGCTGAAGTGGAGCATGATGCATTAAAATTAATGGGTGTGTGCTGGTTTACAAATCATATTGAATTAACTCACTTTAACAATCCTCATTGTTTAAAAAGAATTGTTCCCACAAGCGTTTTGCTACCACATTGACTGCAAGTTGACTTCAGATGGAGTATGTAGAGTCCTTTGGGCATCTTGTGATTGAGCTTTGAGAAACATTTGGTTTTTCTCACCATACCGTCAGAACGAGTCTGTCAGGTGTTTCAACCCTCTGAACATTTGGAAACAGATGGCTGGAGTTGGGAGCTGTTAGAAAATCCAAACAGAAACACATTCTGATGTCCAACAGTCTCGGTCCAAATCTGTAAACAACACAAAGTCTAAAAAATTTTATTGAGTTCATTATTTTTTTCCTTTTCAGTGCTCAGAATAATCCATTTTACCCAAATCTAAAGCAATTATTTTTAAATTTTTCATCTTTCAACTGAAAGCTACATGTTGAGACTCGTGATCCCAATTGAAGGTTTGATTGAAGTTTACAAACAACCAGTTAACAAAGACGCAACAATTACTCTAAATTTAAGAATCATAAAGTATTGCTGTATTTTGCCTATATATATGGTGCACATACTTTATTTTCTTTTATATTGCTTAAAAGTATAGTTTCCTCAAATCTGCTGTCTTCCTTAGATTGTTTTTGTACAGTGCTCTGAGACGTTTGTTGTGACATGGCACTATTTAAATAAACAGAATCAAATTGGAATGAGTTATATGGGGGGACACGGGACATTCTTAAGTAGGGGTGTCCTGATACAACTTTTTCTCTTCCGATACGATACAAATATTGCAACTTTGAGAATTGGCCGATACCAACATTGACCCGATAACATATCAGTACGAATCACACACTTTTACCTATTTTGTAGTGTGAAATCTTGTAAAAGTCTTGATCAGGTCAAACAGTGAAAAAGAGTAGGTTTGAGAAAAATTGACCCATTTAATTTTAATCAATGGGTCACATACATTTTAAACTGAAGAACATTCTACAGTTTAATAAAATAAATAAAATAAATTGGAATACCCTGAAAAATAAAACATAATAAATGCAAAATGTACTTTTAAAGTGTAAAATAACAATTCAAAATCACTCCAATTATTGTTTTACTATCTGTCAGCCTGGTGCTGCTTTATGGTGGGAATAACTGAAGGTGGGTACAAAACAAAACCCCACATTATTGTCCAATGTCCAACTGTTCAAAGTTAAGAGTTCACAGCTCCAATTTTACTGACTGTGCCCAAAACGTTCACAAATATAACGTGTCATACGATTTTTATGCTGATGACATTCAGGTCTATCTTCCATTAAGATGTAGTGGATCCCAGTCTGTAAATAGGCTACTTGAATGCTTAAAAGATGTGAGAGCATGGATGGACCTGAACTTTCTTTATCTTAATGATAAAAAGACAGAGGTCATTTTATTTGGTAACTCTGATGAACTGACAGGATGCAGTAGTGCTGTTGGACCACTGGACCCTTTGTCTGGCCRTGTGTCTGTTAGAAATCTTGGGGTGATTTTGGATTCTGATTTTAAATTTAAAGAACAGGTCAGTGCAGTAGTCCTGTCTATCTTTTATCTTCTGAGACTTATAAGTAAAGTCAAGGATTACCTGCCTCATAATGTCCTTGAGAGGCTTATGGTGCGTTCACACCGAACGCGATTTCAGCGTCAGGAGCAGCAGGTTTACATACAAAGTCTATGGTGGACGCGCTTCAAGCAACGTCGGGAAGTTCTGCGGCGCCTCAAGTGCGATTAGAGCAGCGCGATTTGAACGATTTGAACGATCTGAGTGTTCGACGCGCTGAGGCGCAAATCGCTGAAGTTAGAAAATCTGAACTTTTGCAGCTCGACGCGCCGCGTCAACCAATCAGAGAGACTCCACTGTGTGACGTAGCGACATATTTCCTGACGGGACAGTTTACTGAATGATGTCCACTAACCTGAAACAGACAGAGCTCCTGCTCTTAGGCTGAAATGAGTGCCTGCAGTCGTGTCCTGATCCGCAGCAATGCGTGGCAGCGACTCATCAGACTGGAAAAATAGTCCTGAAAGTGAGCCTCTACTCTGAATTATCTGGTGAATTAATTATGAATTAATTATCTGATGAACGTGACATGTTCTTGCTCTGTAAATAAAGCAAAGCCACTTCCTCGTCCGAAATTAAACAGAGCCCGACAGAGGAGGGAGGGGCGGGGAGGCTCTGCCGTGCAGCGCAGCTGTCCTGCGTCTGACCTCAAAGTGCGCAAGCTTCAAACTTCAGCGTTGGCTGCGATTTTGAAGCTGAAATCGCGTTCGGTGTGAACGCACCATTATTCATGCTTTTGTCACTTCTAGACTGGACTACTTCAAGTTCAACTCCCTTTATTGTGGGATGGAGCAGTCTTTGGTTTTTCATCTACAGCTGGTTCAGAACTCAGCTGCTCGTTTATTAACAGGGACAAGACGCCATGAACACATCACTCCAATATTGTATTCTCTTCACTGGTTACCTGTTTCTTTTAGAATTGTTTTTAAATTTTGTTTTTAGTTTTTAAATGTCTAAATGGTTTGGCACCTCATTATCTGACTGAGCTTTTACAGCCTCACATTCCAAATAGATCCCTGAGATCTGTAAATCAAAAGCTTTTAGTTGTTCCCAGGTCTCGGCTTGTGACAGGGGGGACAGAGCCTTTTCAGTTGCAGGACCTCGGCTCTGGAACAATCTCCCACTGTCTGTGAGGTCAGCGGGGTCTCTAAATGATGTTAAGTCTCTGTTAAAAACTCATCTGTTTAAACAGGCATTTGAGTCTGAAGAGCACAATTATTTGGACAGCCTTTGCTTTTTTGTTTGATTTTGTTGTTTATTTTATTACTGTACTATGTTCATTGTTTATATTTTATGTTCCTGTACAGCACTTTGTTTTTTATTGCACTTTATTAATAAATGATGATGATGATGAAAACATAATTGCACTTAATCTGCACTAAAACAAGTGTGTAAACAGATTAAACATCACTAATAAGCAAAAAATAAATAGTAAAAATTAGTCAGTTAATTAAATTGATAGTTACCTTTCTTACTGCTGCATTTTCACTTTCTACAGTCTGAGCATCATGTGGAGATCAGCCTCTCGCCCCTGCAGGGAGCAGTTTTTATCACTGCTCTCGCCATGTCACGCTCGTATTCCAGAACAAAAGCTGCGCTCTCCTTTCTTCTGTCCATCAATCCTAGAGCTAATCCACGGGCAGCATTCTGCTGATGTCAAAACTGTAAGTCTGCTGTCCTCGCTCCTGCCCGTTTAGAACCACCGACCGGACCGGAGAGGAGGTTCTGAAACTGGAACCATGGAGACACACTGGACCAAAGCCGAACCACATAGGTGCTGCCAGGGTGGAGAGTAGAGCCTGGTTGTCTCTCCGGTTTAGAACGTACACAGTTCTGTTCCCCCACAGAAAACTGTGCATGACAACTTTGCACTTAGCTTCAACTCTGTTTTTGATGAAAATAGAAAGTACTGCTGACATCGCTCCTACTGCCAGCTACTTTGTTAGCGCAGCATGTTGTTGTGATCACGTGGGCTCTGCATGCTGGATCCAAGCACTGCTGGATAGAGAAGCTGGAGCGGGGCAGTGGACTGCTGGATTGGACTGCTTATATGAGAGCGCTTTTATCTGAGATATTTAATGCAGGCCGATAAAATCCGATACTCGTT